CGTGGGGCGAGCGGGAAGCCGAGGACCGCGCCGGGGAGCGGGCGAGGCGGCAGCCAGGCGCCCTCGAGGGTCGTGTTTGCGGGACTCTGAGGCGGTGCTGTGTGGGGAGGCGGGGAGCAGTCAGGTTGGCAAGGCCAGGACGGGCATGGCTGTCTGGGCAGCCGTTGTGCTGCTTAATTTTGCGTCCCTTTCTCTGAGCCCTGCTGGCTCAGAGGCAGCCGAGAAAATTCCTGATGCCTATTGGTGCCTGAGGAAGAAGAAAGTAAAGTAAAATTAGTTCTTTAATCGCAAATTATTTTAAGATGAACCTTTTCTTTGGTGTGCCCATGCATATGCACTCTTGTTTCCTGTAAGTGACCATATAGTTTGGCTTATTTAAAGCTTGTTAGTGTATTTCTGAAATAGCCAATGCAATTCATTTGCCAAAAAATAAAATTCTGCTTGGATTATGTTTTTTTTTTGTCTGTTTGATTTTACTTTTTGCTTTATAAGATATTGGCTTGAGCAGGGATAGCATAATGATACAAGTAGAGATATTTGATAAGTGCTGTCTTATTCTCTGAGGGATTTTGAGTAGAGCTGAGCTGTAAAAGTGAAATACTTTCCTTCTGTAATGATTTTCTGGCTGGTTTTTGAATTTTCAAAGTTTTAGCATCTTGAAATGCGAATCCTTCCTCCAAGGATGAGAATGTGAAAATGAGACTGAGCACCAAGAGATGATGTATAAACTACTTGCTGGCTGGCTGCAAGTAGTTAGTGGTAGGAAGTTTTGAAGGGAGTATAAAAATGGAGTAGTAGTCTCTGTGTTTTAGATGCAGCTCCATTGCAGGTAATAGAGGTGGGTAATGGAGTAACTGTTTTGCGCATAGTATAGACTGTCTTTGACAGAAGGCAGAGAAGTGCACACTGATGTCTTGAAGAAAGTCAGTGAGCTGGGAAGAATGGTTTCTTCACATGTAAATAAACAGGTGACTCCCTGAGAGCAGGGAGAGCAAATTCCCAAGCACTCAGTTTAAAGGTGAGATAAAAAACCGCTTGTTTCTGTCTGAGTGAAAGAGAAGGCTAAAATGATCATGCTGAGTGAATGTTTTTACAGTACAAAGTTAGAAACCACTCATATTTTCTTCAGTTCTTCTAAGGATTGAATGATCATTGTTAATGACTTAAGACTGTCAATAAAATAGCAAGGAATACAGGGATGATGGGATGCCCTGCAGACACCCTGGGATGAAATAAGATTGGAAGAGATCACAACATTACTCTGCTGCTGCGAATAGCATACGTGGAAACAGTTGACTTAGTATTGTGTAAATACTAAGAGACAAAAAATGATAGGTATGGCAGAGAAGGGCTTAAAAAGAAAGTTCAGATACTATTTGTTATTTTTGGTCCGATCTGTAGGAGAAGGTTGAAAATGCTTTAGACGGGTTTTTGTCCACGTTACAAATGAAAGCCAAAGTTTTTAATTTTGCGTTGACCTGGGCCATAATTAATCTCTAGTTTGTAGATTGTAAGGCTAACCTTCATTGAAGAGAAAATCTAAACAACTAAAAGACAGGAAGATAGCAGTAAAAGTGAAATGTATTTAAGGTTTGATTTGCCAGGAATGGGTTAGACAACTGTGACTGAGAAACTGCAAAGTTTTTGTTTATTTTTGGTTTCTCATACACTGACGTTAAATAACGGGCTAGAGGAAGTAGCAGTTCTCATTGACATATATTACTCATGGGATGTTTACCCCCACTGAACTATTGAATTCACAGTTCATAAACATGATCAATTGTATCTTAAAGCCATATTACTCACTCCTTCCTTCTTGAATATGTGCATAGTTCCAAGATAGCACTGTCTCAACTGTGTTAACACTGTCTTAGAGCCCTTAAGATGATGTTTGAGATGATGCTCATATTATGAGCCTGATGTTCCAGAATTAAGGTATCGGTGTAGGTGCACTATACACTATTGACCTTAACTGCTGATGAAAATCACTGCTACAAAAGTTGCTATGCAACACAGGGGATAATGTAGCAGTACTACAAGAGTTTTCCTGTTGGAGAGAGTAAACTGGAAATCAACGCTGGTCAACTGAAAGTCATCAACAATAGATGACAAGAGATTTTAACTGTGTAGAGTGTGTTGCATCAAGGAATGCTATTTAGCCCTCTTTGAGTAAAATCACTTGTTTATTGGGCTCATATTTCTATAGGGATGCAACTGTGATTGGGTTGGGCAGGCGTGTTTAATGACTAAATCTCAGATATTAGAAAATGCTTAGCTCTTGTAGATAAACATAACGTGCTTTTTTCTGTTCTTAACTGTTTAACCTTACTTCTTGCAGATCTTGATTTTTTTTTTTTCAAATCTTTATATAATTTGTTGGAAAACACTTTGAGTCTGTTTTTACAAAGAATTTAAGAACTTTTTTTTTTAAGGATGAATGCCTTTTTTTTTTTGTAGACGTATATGTTTACCAATAAAGGCCACAAGCATTAGAAGTGGAATTTGATGCCAGATGCAGATTTCTTTTCCTCTGGGAGAGGTATCCTAATCTTTTTGCAGGAATTAATAGTGCATGTTGCTTTCAGTAACCAAAGACTTGTTAGCCAAGATCTAGATTTTATTTGATTTGCACTTGAATAAATTGCTAATAGCAATGGTTTTGAAATTAAATGTAGAAGCTACATTAGGGCAAGTGTAATTGAATCTGCCATTAAAACTTAACACAAAATTTCGTTTTCATAGGCCTTCTTTCATTGCTTGTGCCTGGATGAGTCATCTGGTCAGGGAGGCAGGCCGCCATGGTAAGGAAGGAAGAGGCAGAAGTGGTAGACCCACTGACTTTGCACTTAGAACGTCTGTGAGGATAGCTCATACTAGCAGATAGCTGAAAATCCATAGCCAAACATAATGTGGCCTTATATTTACTTTTTTAGAAAGGATACTGTGGCGTTTTTCTTCTCTAGTTTTCAGTGAGATGGTATGGTCCTCAAGTGGTAGACTGGGCTCTATTTAAAGATATTTCTAGGTCTATACACTTCTATTGTTTTACAAAGTTAATTTTCTTAAAATAATTAGCAAGTGAAGCATTTCACCCAACAACACTAGTTTTCAGGCTGTGGTCAGTAAATTCCTGGAATCTGATCTGTAATAGTCTGTTTTAAAAAAAAGTCTAATAGGCAATATGTTTTCTTTATTAAGCTTTCAGTTACCTGCTGTTCAAAAGGTTGAAAACCATGTATCTAGAGGCTTACATTTCTATTAAGGGTTGCATAATGGCTTATATTAAAACTCCTTTCTGAGTTCATAATTAGCAAATAAAAACATAAAATCCTCTCTTCTTAAAAATTGCGATCCTTCGTATGGATGTGATATTTGTATTGTTTTCTATTATATACAGATATGGGGAGGTATGCAGAAGTTATTGGGTAAATCCTCTCTTCTTAAAAATTGCAATCCTTCGTATGGATGTGATACTTGTATTGTTTTCTATTATATACAGGTATGGGGAGGTATGCAGAAGTTATTGGGTATTATGTCATGATGAAATGTTCAAGTCGTAGGATATTATACTGTATTTACTCCCTGGAGGAGGCCATGTAGACATTTGATTGTATTTGCACTCTTCTATATTACATGAAGATTCCTTTGCCATGTAATTTAAATGAGACATTGTTGAACTTTTGTCTATGATCAATGTGCTGCCCCTACCAGGTGGTTTGTTTGTGTTTTTTTTTCCCCCCCTATGGTATTATTTTAAACTTCATTTTAGTTTCTTTTGAGCGGAGAGATCAGACTGTCTCTTTAGAATTTCTTTTTTTTTCCCCTTCTGTTCAGTAATCTAAGAGCTGGGGGGGGCGAGGGTCATCCAGCATTTCAGCTATTCCTATGGCAATATTTCAGGCTATTATAATACTCTTTTTCTGCTCTCTGTGTTATCAGCAGCATCTACTGTAAAGTTACTTGATGATGCCAAAGATGCTCCTGAATTGGAACGTAACAAGAATCCTATGAGGTTTAGAAAATTCTCACTATAGTTGCTCAAAAATAAAAGGCTATTTTTTGAACTTTAGCCCACATATGGTTTGATGCTTGCTTTAGGGCATGTACTGTTTTCTTTCTACATGCATAAAGCATGGTAAGGGTTCTTCAGGTTGAAGTAAGGTTTAAACTTTGCAGAATTTAGAAAGCTTATGGATACACTAGCAGGGGACTGGACTTAATGATCAAAGAGATTATTCAGCCATGCTCTTAAGAAATATCAGATTTATAACTTTGTGCAACCTTAATTTTATGCTCTCACGCAATTGATCTCTGCTCTGAGTAAGGCATGGGTCATAGCAGGAGCAAAACAAAATAATACGTGGTCACGTAATTGGACTACTGTAATGTGTGTCTAGGGCGCAAGAGGAGAGACTTTTGTTTCCTCTCCTTTCTGAAATAAATCATGAGTGTCCTTATAGTCATTTTTTATCTAGTGTTAATTGAGAATATTAATTCCAGCTCCTCGTTCATAATTATGAGGACGCTGTCAGTTTTGTTACTGTTGTAATGTGAAGTGAAACCATGTAAACAACAGGCTGCTATGCTAAAGGCTATAAGAACACTGGTGAGTGTACATAAGAGGATGATGTTTTAAGCTCAATGCTTTGTTTTTTTTCCTCCAACTTCTGTCTTAAGATTGGAATAAAGCCTCTTACTATTATGATTCAAAGTTGGCTACTTTTGAGTAGCCACAATTACTTCTTTTCAGCAGAGCTGAGCTTTAGTAAGGGAAGGTGAAATACCTTCCAATATTTTGAATGAGACCTGTTTGGTTGTGCCAGGTGGGATCAAGATAACTACATAGTATGAATAATGTATTGTTATGTGTTGTGAAGGAAGCATAGAAACAGGGATAACGTGCACAAACCAAAATAATGATGAAAATGCTTTGTTTTCCCAGGACTCTGGTAAGAGCACTTGTATAACACGGTTCCACTAAGAGGCAGGCAGAGTTCTTGGGAACTGCTGGAATAAAATCCTGATGTTCTCATTATGTTGGCTATGTGGCTTCTTACGATTTCTTTCCTGTATTATGTCAGGTTTATTAGCTGTCTAGGATCTCTCAGTCAGTCACGATTAAGGTGGCTTACTGAGAGATCTCCAAAGCCTTTGGTAAGACAGGATGGCATGATCTACTAGTCGGATTCTTCTTGAAGTACACAGCCGTGCGGATAGCCATGCTGATAGCTGTAACACTAGTCATCTTGATTAGAAGCTGCA